TAGTATTATGTCTTGCAGGTGATGCATTAAATTGGTATTTAATTCGTGTCAGAGGTAAAAATTGGAGATGTAATAATCTCTCAGATAATTTAGGAGTAGCTATTTTAACTGCTGTTTAAGCAATAGATGTCAGAAATATTGGTAATCAGATTGGTGGTTTGAATACTGCTAGAGAATTCCAAGGTAAGGGGTCGCTAAAATTGGTAGAATTGAAGCAGGAGTCGCAATAAGTGCTAATATTATTCTGGATGGAACATGAGATGAAGACTGGTCTATAGCTAGTGGCGAACTTGTAGATAATGTACCAGTAGCACCTAATGCCAAAGGTGGTCTTCCTGATGTTACTATTGCTCCTAGTATTAAGCTTGTTCAACTTTTATACCTGTTTAGAACCGCTTATACAACAGTTGAATACTTAAAACATACGGCAGCTTTTGGTCAACTCATGCAAGGTGATATGTCAGTTGAGCAATTCTTCACTAGAATTAAAAAGATTGGTAAAGTAGCTAAAATAACTCCTAAATAGCAAAGAGAGAGCAATTTATTCGTGATCTATCTTCGATAAATCAATATAATCTTTGAATGATGGCCAAATTTTATGATACACAGGATAATATTACACAAGCTCTAAAACAGAAAATTATACATTATCTCAAAAGAGCACACTGTCTTCTTTTCCAATTTTTCTGACGACCAATCCATATGTAAATACTAATATATCAGGGATGACTAGAAATGAAATTAAGAGCTTGGTAAAAAATACAATAGCATCCTCAGAACCTCAACACCCTCAACAAGTGACTTCATCATAATTCTAACCACAACCTACGGAAACACATAAAATTTACGAGATGAGTATATAGGCAGATTTTTATCATGAATTATAGGAGAAATCCCAGAATTTGTTCCTATTCCTAATCCCACTTTACCACCAAAGTCAAATAAAAAAATTGAGATTGATTCTGACGATGAACTTTTTGAGCTCACAAAAAGGCAATTAAAATTGCATGTGTCTAAGGCCGTTAAAAAGGCTGTAAAAACACAATATAAATGTTCTATCTGTTGTAAGCTGGACATAATTCTCACAACTGCTCTCAAAAAAAAAAAAAAGAAAAGTCTAAAAAAGGTAAGGTTAATCTCGCTACTTTAGATTTGACCCTAGATTCGAATTCAAATTCTTCTTCTAATACCTCATCTAGTGATAATTCTGATTCTAATTCAATTTCTTCCGATTCTTCTAATTCTGAAGGTGAGCTTAATGTTAATATGACTAAGATAAAAAAAAAGTAAAGCAGAAGTCAAGCTCCAAGAAATCATCCTCTAAAAAACAGTCTAAGAAAAAACCCAAGTTATATAAATCTGTTAAATAAGCTGAGAAGACAAATATTGAGAAGCCTATAGTTAGCTCTGGTAAGACTAAACAAAGTACTTTGGAGGATACAATCCGCAAGATTATTCAAAGTGAATTTAAATTAATTTTTTCTGCACTTATTATCCAAGATTCTAAAGCTAATACGCTAAAACAAGCACTTTCTATTCAGGAGCAAAATGATGAGATTCTAATAACCAAAGATATATTGCCAGATTTAGAGAAAGATGAATATTTAGATGATCCAATAGAGATCGATTTTATTTAGAAAAAGAAGCCGAAAATAAGTGTTATAACTGTAAAGTGTAAAATGAAGCGTTTGAAAATCCCTGCTATGACTCTTGATTCTGGAGCTGAACCCCTTATCATAACAGAAAATATTGTTGAGCATGTAGGAGCTAAAATTGATAAATCTGAAACACATGATCTCAGTGGTATTGCTACAGTTCTGATTGAATCTGTTGGGATTATTCGTAATTTACCTATCACTCTAGCCCTAGGTTGTACTATCTATGAAGATTTTGTTGTTGTGAGATATCATAAGCCTACGCTAATATTTTCTAATCAACTTTTAAAAAAGTACAAATGCATAATACAATAGATTAGGATACCAACGAGCTAAAGATTCCCCTTAATAAAAAAGATTATATCTTCCCAGTTACTATACATAAGGTCAAGAACAAGCTTGAAATAAATTGCGCGAATATTACTTCTGATTGTGATGATTCCTCAACTCCAGATAGAATTTCACAAGACTTGCAGGACTTAAGTGAAGACAATAATATATTAAAAAAAAAGTGAGTTATGAAAGTATGGCAACTTGTATGAAAGAGCTTAAGAAGGTATTATTTACTAGTGTTCAATTGAATTTGGAAATCATGGAACAATATAATAATCTTTGTGAATGGTATGAGTGATGGTAAGCTAAGACCCAGTAATCAATTTTTGTACAAGTGCACGATTTTTTGCCACAGCCTTTTTCATTCCATTTTGTGTCTTCTTAAACATTTCCAGAGCATCTTCAGAATCATGTAGAATAATGGGCAATGGATTGGAAGAAGGTGGTATTTTTGACACTTGTTCTTTTTTTATCTCTAACCCCTAACTTCCTTTCCTGATAAATCCTTACTATCAGACTTAGACTTTGATTTCTTTTTACCTGTCTGTATTCGTATGAAATCACTAAAGAAGAAAGAAGAATTATGTGAAGATTTCTGATTATCATCTGAATTCTGGTCAGAAGGCACTTCACGCAAATGAAGAAGAGGATTTTTATTATCAGAGATGCTAACGGATTTTATAATATTATGCCATTCCTCTATTGGTATAAAAGGCCTTTGATTATTAATGATTTTTTTATATATTTTTGCTCCTATACGATGTCTTTTACACATAATACTTTGAGCATTTGGAATATTTTTAGAAGCATTTCTGATTTCTTCTATAGCTTCAGACAATAAAAAGTCTGGCATCTGATCTGAGAAATTTATGGGCACAAGCTGTTTGTTTTTTACTCATACTGAATCTATATATTTCTAATATATTATCAATAGAAAACAAAAAAAAACTGATAAAAAATTAATAAAAAACTTATTCACCATTTATTTGACATTGATTTTATACTAATATAAATATTATGCAAGTCTGCTATAACTCTAATCTAAATAGAATTAGAAATAAAATGCATACAATTTAGATACTTTATCAATTTTATATTGGTGAAATACTGGTTAAATATTGGTACAATAATGATTCAAAAAAAATATCAAGTTCTTAGTAAATATCAACAATAAGACATCTATCTAAAAAAACATATAACTGAAATTTTTGAGATAATGTCCGAAAATATTTTTTTTCACTATCAAAGTATATACGAAAGTAAGTCATGTCCAATGTGCATACTATAAAAGATCTTAGTTCAGATCATCGTCTTGGTAGTGCCTGTGAAATAAAGCTTAAGGGAATATTGCGTATTAGTAGCAAATCTGCTACTGACCTTATTAATAAATATAGAAACCTATAGAACATATATTTAGAGTGAGAAAAGGAGTTTCAGCAAAGCTATGCTAATATTGGTAATAAGGTTAGCCAGCTAAATAGTATAAATACTAAGCTTAGATCCCAATTTACTTCTGAATTGAAATCCCATTCTGAGAGTCAACATGAGCATGAAGCAGAATGAGCTAATTATTCTGCTGAAATCAAGTCACTTAAATCAAATATTAAAATACTAAAGAGAGAGGCGACTTTAGCGCAGAAAGCTTCGTTCGCTAACAAGATCAAGATACTTTTTCTTGAAGTTAAGATAGTTGAATTGAAAGATAAGTTGCTAGATCTGGAACTAGAATGTAATTCGCATATAGTGGGAGGACTACTAGAGAAACCAACTCAAATAGACTCATCCATAATAGAATCCCTCAGGCTCGAACTGGAGCGAGTAAGTGAAGACATTAATTCAAAAAACATGAAATAGAATGTATATAAAAGAGGATAGAATCATCAAATAACATATACAAGTAGATGATAGATTCTTTATTTTTAGCGCAATCAAATTTACTTGAGAAAAACGCTCATCTTCAAGAATTACTATTGAAGAAAGAACTGAGAGGCGCTTCATATAATGAAGTAAATACTCCATCCCGCCTATAAATAATTCATCACAACCTTTTGCTCTTAATTTTCCTATATTCCAGACAATTTCTATAGGTAATGCAGAAGCAGTTTCAGCTATCCCTATTGTTGCAAACTTCTTAATATCACTGATATTAATATATATTATGCTTTTCTCGCAATTATATGGCTTGTGATTGGAAGAAGGATATGGGGTTTATGGAAAAAAGTAATACTGAGTATTCTTTTAACTGAAACTATTTTTTATCATCTCCAGACATTTCTGAGGCTGGGTTATATGATCGGAAGCTAGAAGTTTGAAGATAGGAATTAAAGTTAGCTGGTATTATTGCACAAGAAAAATATGTAAATAATATTATGCGAAGCGTCTTAATGGCTAAATATTCTAGCAAAGGTATAACAATTTCAGCTAAGTGTACTTAACCATATAGTTAGTTGGTTTTGGATGAATTCTCAAAATATCTAGAAAGTTTATTGAAGACTTTTGATATATTTTATAAGCCAATTTTTTGCCTTTTTCTGAAAATATTTATCAATCTGCTTTTCCCTTATATTCGAATCTTTTATCTGCATTATTTTATCTGATGAGTGTGGTAGGAACATATCATTCTCATTGATAAAATGTGCACACATTTCTACTATTTGTTCTAAATAGTGGCTGATATCTATTTTCATATTAAACTCTTTTGCAATTTTTGGAAATTTCATGTAATCGCCTTTTATTGTTGATTTTGAACCATCTTTTTTATAACGAGAGTCGTCATTCACTATGATATAGCTAAAGCGTTCCCCAAAATCAGAGATCTTTATATTTTTTCTCCGCTTGCTATTCTTTCTCTCATCTGCTGCATAAAGATTTTATTGCATGTGAAGCCTCCTTTAGCCTTCCATTTAGACATTGCAATAAACTGATTAGAATCCCACTGCACAAATCTAGCATTCTGAAGAGCATCTTTAACAATTTTACAAATTGAATATTATTATTAATACTCATTACCTTTCACATAATCTTTTCTCCGATAAACCTGAAGAACTCAGAATTCCCTTGCTTCACAGTATCAATTCCTCTTATAAAGAGATCATCTAGCCTAAAATTAACCACTTCTTCATGTGATACACTGAAATATTTTTTCTTGCCAGCAGAGCAGATAGGAAATAATACCTTTTCATATGCCATCTTAAGATAAGATGTGCCATTTTTATCCCAAGATAAGCATTTACTTGATCACGCAAGCTTTTCATCACAACCATAGTAATTTCAACCATTTCAGTCCAATATGCTTCTTTAAAAAGATCTTTTCTAGAGAAGGTTTCATTGCATTTTTCATAATACTTATCTAGACAGGTGAGATATAAAGAATCAGTATCACCATATTTTATCCCAAACCCTTTCTTTGTTATGAATTCTGCGACAAGATTAAAGTTATATTTTCCTGCTGAAATAGTTCCTCCAGCTAATTCACGAAGAAAAATTGGAGATTTTGAGTTGCCTGCCTTCCCATAAAAAGTGTTCATATATACCTTGAAAGCTCTTTATTTTGAATCTGAATAATCATAATCAAAACATACAGATGAATATTCTGAATTTAAGCTTTCTGGAATCCTTTTGCCTCTTTTTTTAGCAAACTAATAATCTTTCCAAGTTGTAGCTTTTTCTTTCCTAGTGGGACAAGATGTGCTTTAAGCTCTACTCTCGTATTGAATAAATCCTCTAATACAATAGAAAATAAACCTTTCTTTTTGAATTGATTATTATGTCTTACATTTCAAGCTTGAATGGTACAGTTATTGAATGAAAACTCAATCTTATGTAAAATGTTTCCATTTTTTCCGCAATATCAACCTCTTCATATGTTAGTATTATTTTATCTGAAGAGAGATTGTAAGCCATGATGAGACTGGAATATAATGAGGCAAAGTCTAATCCCATTACAGGTCTTCTCGTTTCAATCCCTTTTTAGGTAGAAAAACGTATGCATCAGAATATTTCCTTTTTCTATATTTTCACATACTCTTGAGCTAAATACCATATCATATTTAAAAGTATAAGTGCCCAGAAGGTTTCGTATCTTCATTCTATTTGCACGATAGTGTAAGTCGAACAAAGATACATGAGCTATGAAAGTGACTTTTCTGTAATCATTTATTTGTCTTAGTTTTACCAAAAGCTCCTGGAAATGTAATGTATCTATAATACAATAATTAGCTATTTCTCGTATTTTTCTTACAGCTAAAGAAGAAGGGTCTTTTTTTATCTCTGAATAAATTCTCCACATTTCATCATATGCATGTCAGCTTTAGTGTCGAGGCCACACTTTTTTAAGAAGAATTTAAGCGACCCTTCCTTTTTGACTTCAGAATGAGGGTAATGTTTTTTGAGACACACTCAAACATTAATTGGTATGCAACCTGACAGTTTAAGAAAACTGAAAAAGAAATCTTCTTCTGCAGTAATTTTGATCTTAATTACTCCCATATAATCTTCCTTTTCCTCAACTTTCTCATCTGATCTCCATATAGTTTCCTCTTCATCTGTATCCTTTTTTTCCTTTCATCTTGAAATTATTTTCAGATTTTGCTCCTATCTTCCCACAATATTTTCATTTTAGAATTTCTTTCTTTGTTTCAAACTTTTCTGTCATTCGTTCCCACATCCATTCGAGTATATTGAAATGATATGCTCTCACTATAATAAAATACTAATCATAGTCTGAATCGTTAAACTCAACTAGGATGTCAGGAGCAAATACTCACCAGCAAAGAGCAAAAGCTTTTAGCAGATTTACTTGATTTTCACAAATGATTGTAATCCAACATGGATTTGGTTCTATCTCAACATTGACAAGACATATTTGCTTTAATGGTTTTGGATTATCTTTCCAATGCAGTATCATGCTAATCATAAAAACATTATGATTCAGATCAAGAACTTCGGCAAATTTGCTCAACTCTCGTGATTGGGTCTCTATATTTCATGTGAGAACAAGTGTATGATCTCATAAGAGAGCTGAAATAGAAAATCAGTCGCTTATTATTGTAAAATTTTCTAGCAGACAGAAATCTTTTATAGATACATAGAATTCATGTAGATAGAGCGAGCTGGTCCCTTTGCCTTACTTGTAAATATATTTGTTTATTGTAGACCATCCAGAGAGTTGAATACCATTCTCTCGTTCTACCTTATGGTGAAATGAGTATAAATCATCTGAAACAGTTTCAAAATTATTTTCTTGGATAGCTTAGATGACTTTCTTTCTCTCTCCAGTACCATTCGTATAAATTCGTAAATATGACTTTTTTTCAGTATAATAATCCTGAAAAGGAAAAGCTTTATTGTGCTCTATTTTAAATAATTTCACAATGCTAGAGAGAATTTCATTCACCTTTTCTTCACATTCATCTGGAGTTTTTTCATTTGGTATGAAAATGTTAAAGAAAACTTAAATGTCTATAAGAGTTACTAGTGTCTTTTGATCATTAATAAGGTGGCTATAAAGATGCAATATATAGCAGTATGTTCTATTTATCCTTTCTGTTGATCCTTCATTCTCAATGGCCGTGAATGGAATATCTTGTTATTTAGATAAAGCATCTTCAAGAATTAAAGATAATTCCTCATCATTTCCTACAACTATATTATCTAGTGTTTGAATATCTAACAAGTTTTTTTCATCAGAATAGCAAATCAGTTGGTCTTCCAATTTATCTTTTTCAGCCTCTAAATGAAAAAGTGGGGCAAGGCGTCAAGAAACTCTGAAAACTCAGATTGTGTTATAGTAAAAATTTTCGGAATTATTATCTAGTATACCGTTTTAGTATAATACCACAACAAAAAAGTTTAAAATAAAAATAAATAATTATAGATATCAAAGTATTATTTATCTAAGAATAATATCAATAGGTGGTAAATACATTTACCAGTATCGTTCTAATGAAGGGGAGGTTTGTAAGCGGGAAAGTAAAAAACCAGAAGGGTATTATATTCATCAGAAAAGATGCTAGCGACTTCTATACAAACAAGATTAATGTGAAAGACTGATGGCTTCTAAATATAGATTTTGTGATTGGCATGTAAAAAAGTATCACTCAAACACCTATTATCATCAAAAAAAGTTGGATAAGTTATTTCAGAACTGTCAGATCCCAAAAGCAATGAATCAGACTCTCGATAGAATGAAAATACCTAATGCTATAAGTTGGCTTTAATGACTTATCAAAAATTTAGCCTTATGAAAAATTTATAGGAATGGCAAAAAAAACTTAACAAGAACGCTGTTAGTTTAGCAAACTGGTAATTTTAGAACTCTGAGAAGAGCATTTTACTACTTGTCCTTATGACATTATGAGTCTCTATGAATTTCTGAACTCTTTACCTTTTTTTATTTTTTTTTATATCATATATCGATCATATGCTAATTATATCAACTATATATATTATATTTACTCATAAGAGTACCATAGAACAATTGAATTTTTTTCTTAAAACTTTTATTTTTCATAAGAACTCATAGAGTTATAAGAACAAGTAGTAAAGAACTTAATAAATTAAGCTAAGAAGCCCAAAAATGATATCGAGATTATCCTTATGAGCGTTCTCATGAATTTTTCTTATAAGGACAGAGAAATTTTATAAGAACATTCAAAAATGGCATACTCATTACTTCAATCCAGTTTAGACCATGATCTAATCTTGAATGAGCTTATAACATCTCACTAATATGTCAGCAACAAATAGACAATAGTTGGATTACAAGATAATGCACTTTCAACAATCAAATGGGCTGGCCAAAATAATACATATCGCACTTCTAACCTCAGACGTAAAATTGGCATATATATTGGATTCTGGTAGTGATACTTGATTAAACTCTTTTTTGAAAAATTGTAATTTCATCAAAAGTTTTATCTCTTTAATATTTTTATATGTATAAATATAAAATTATTATATTTTTTTAATATATTTTAATTCAAGGAATTTAGATCAAGTTAAATATAATTTTGGCAATTAAGTAAAATAATTTTGTCATTAATAAAAAACTAGTTTTGTCATTTCAGTTTTATCAATTTCGTCATATTAAGAAAGGTTATTTTGTCAGGTATCACTAGGTTCTGGGAATATTCCCAGAATATTCTCACTACTAGCCTGTAATTATGTGAGTGTATTCTCATACTAAACAGTATCATGTGATTGTAATGCAGTAAGCGCAGTAAATTTACAATAATGCCAGCCAGTACTATTCCATAATTTCGACCAAAACTTTGAATATAATAACTCAGTACCCAAGCTAGTATAAAACTGATTCAAAATTGGTAAATTAATAAAAGCACACTAACTCCTTGTCAGTTCTTCACCAGTTCCATGACAGTTTCAGGACACTATCAGGTCACTGTCATGACGTCAAGCTGGATCCTCGAATCATATGCTCTAAAAATTAGCCAGAATTATACCATAGAGTCGGCCAAAATTAATCACAAATATACTGCATCCAACTAAGCATAGATAGCCAGCACTCTCAATATAAAACTAGGTATCCAAATAGCCACAAATGACTAATAATCCCATTATAGAATTTAACATGTAAATGACTTAGAAACAAGAAAAAAGGTGTAGTATCCAGATCATATGGTGGTAGTTAGATTAAATGGTAGGTAGTAGTTAGATTATATAGTGGTAAAAATGATGAATAACAAGAAAGGTTAAAAGGAATAGCTATAACATAAAATAGATACCAAAACACGAAAATATATAGATTATATGATGGTATTTAGATTATATTATTTAGATTTTATAGTGGTATTTAGATTATATCTTTTAGATTATATGATGGTATTCAGATCATATAATGGTACTCAGATTTCATGGTGATATTCAGATCTTATGATGGTATTCAGATCATATGGCGGTATTTAGATCATATAATGGTACTCAAATTTCATGGTGATATTCAGATCTTATAATGGTATTCAGATTATATGACAGTATTCAGATCATATGATGGTAATATAATCTAAGGCAAGTGGGATACCACCATGTAATATAATTATATCACATGGTGGTATCCTACTGAATAGGATTATAAAAATGATGATAATTTTTAAAATTTTGGCCTAATTTAGGATTTGTAATTATCATAATACTGGTTGATATTAAGTTTGACCAGAATTTGCAAATAGTAAGTAATGTTAGTTAACCTTGTATAATTCTGATCAAATCACAAAATTCACAGAATTAACTTTTATCACATATCCTTAATCACTGCAGATAATCATAATCCCTATACAAAAGATATTTTTTGCTTGATTTGTATATATGATCCATCTTGTCACATGATTTGCAACCTTTGTAAATATATGGGAGCTTGTCAATAGAAAAGGAGGAAATCTAAAAAAAAATCAAAATTTTACTTTATATGCTAAATATGATTTTTTTTAGTAAAATAAGTTCAGATTTAACTTTAACTTATAAAAACATTTTTTTTAGATTTTCCTCCTTTCTATTAACAAGCTCCCATATGTGTTATTAGACTTATAAACATGTAAAACATTAATTTTTTTTCATAAAATTTACAATTACCTGCATTATTTTTTTTTCTTTCAAATTAGTCTGTTTAGATGGTTTATTAGTTGCCATATTACTAAAAGCGAATATGTATTTGCTTTAGCTAAAGATAGCACTATAACTAGGCATTACTAATCGCAACCCTTAACCTGCAACTCTATGTTTTTATATAGGTCACAACTGCAACTATTTTTGAAAATAGGTTGAGAAGCTATCTTTAGCTTTAGCAAATATTAAATTTTTATTTTATTACACTGTAATTTTATTGTGTTGATGATTAAAGAAAGAGGTATTGATTTTTTTGTAGTTAATAAAAAAGAAATTTAAAGGAAGGTAATGATTTTTGAAGTTAAAAAAAGAAAGAATATGATGTTTAAATTTTAAAAAAAAACGAAATTTAAAGGAATTGTATTGATTTTTGTAGTTAAAAATCAAAAGGGTATGTATGATGTTCCAATTGAATTTTTGTAGTTTTTGTTTAAAAAAAGAAACTTAAAGGGAGATAATGATTTTTGTAGTTACAAAAACGAAAGGATATGATGGTTAAATTTTTTAAAAAAAAGAAATTTAAAGGAAGAGGTATTGATTTTTGAAGTTAAAATTTTTTTATCTAAAGGTTTATATGATCTTATACTACTTACACAACGATAATGTTTAAACATTTGAATGTAAGAACTTTCTTTTGTTTACCCGTAAAACTATTCTCATAATAATCAATATTATTTCAACTTTGATAATCGAATCTGTCATATGAAGAATCATTTTGTATGAACTTTATATTTAATGTTTATCAGGCGCGAAAACCTATTTTCATCTACTTTCTATTTTCTACTTATCATGCCAAATTTATCTCTATAATAACAATTAAAAAATCTTTTCAATTTTATCAAATTAAAAAGACACCTCACTATCATGTTACAAAAAGCGTAACTTTTCCTCTTTATCAATCCTTTTTTTATTTATTTTATCGTGTAGAATTTATCGTTAAGTAACAATTAAATAAAATTTGAAAGTATTTTGAAAAACAAGCGTGGCCGGACATCCATCAAGTCCAATTTAGTGACTAATTATCATGTAAAAACAAGTTTCCTGCACGATTTTTTGCCTGATCTAAAATCGCATCAAAATTGAAATTCACATAATTTTGAAAACCGCAATAAATCGATAATGATATGGAAATGTTATTTTAAATTGATTTATCATAAAAGAGTAAAAAAATGAAATTTTCAGTTGAATTTTAAGACCCGTTTAAAATTCTTTGATGAGCTTCTGTCAATTGGCATTCTAATAATTTAATTCTATTATCTTTATCTAAATTTTTTTCTTCCAAACTTTTCTTTTCAACATCCAATACATTTAGTCGATTCTTTAATTCATTATTTTCAATAGTTAATTCAACAACTTGTTTTTCAAGACTTTCCATTCTCATACTTTTACGTTGTCGACTCCTTCTTGCTGCATCAGTATTTCTTGCACGTTTTCTTGCCAACTCTTCAGCAATTGTTTGTGGATCTTTGACGACTGAATTATTATTATTAAATGATCTTTTACGTGAAGATGATGGACTCTTTGTTGTTCGAATTTTAGCTTGTCCTGAGGTAGAAGCAGCCATTGTTTTAGTGGTGGTATTATTCACAACGGAGGGCGAAGTTATTGAACATGATGGTTCAGAATCTTGTGGAGAAGAATATGATGATGATGATGATTCAACGGGTTCAACTTTTACAACTGCGTCCTGTAAATTAAATCCGTTAGATTCTATCAATTTGTCACTTTTTCTTTGTAAACTTTCAACGAATGGTTATTTATTTTTTTAAAAAAGGACATACCAAATTCATTGTACTTTATTAGACATTGGCTCGTAATTTCGAAAAAGAAAACTCACAGAATGCGACTTATAGTACGCAAGTTGAGTATATAGCATGCTAAGTGTCAGCAATTATGACTTAACCTTATAATTGTGATTCAACAAAAATGATAAAACCGTAAACTTTTTTTTTTGATCTACGGCAAATTACGGAATAATCGTAAGACGATCAGATCTATAGATTATCATTAAAAAACCATCTGCGTAAAAGTTTTTCGCGTCTTTTCGCGTCTCGTCAAAAAAAGAAAACGATGACTTCAGAAGCAAACCTTGTTCAGGATATCAAAGAGCAACCTTCTAGCAATAATGTTGTCGAGGATTGTAAAAATAGCGAGATGTAAGTGTTAAAAGGTATATATTTCTGAATACTTTGACCAATTTTTTTTTTTTTTTTAAAAAAAAAAAACTTTTTTCTCAAATTAAAAGGAATACAATGGCCACAATATTACAAAGCAGTATCCAAGGCGTGCAAAATTCTTTCAGCACTGTCTACTCCGTATGTCATTGCCTTATTGATTTTTGTTTATTTTTTCATGATTTATATTTGATGACATAAATTTTATTTTAATAGACATTGGCTTCGAATTTGAAACAATCTCTCGAAATGACTCAGACAATGAATTCAGTGATGGAGCAATTTTTATTATCAAATCTTCGAATTAGTTGGTATTGTTATTTTAATTATGACAAAATTTTAATTTGCATATTCTAAGTCCTTTTTCTTCTTAAGCTTCCAATATAACACCAATTCACGATTCAGAAGCGCGAGAAGAGAAATTTATTCCTAGCTTATTAACTATCACAATAACTAATTCCGGTCAATTTCCTATACCAAACATGTCATGTTATTTAACCTTTGGAAAGAAAGGTTATCAAGAGGTACAAATAAGGTTCCAAACATATTTGATAATAACACACACAACCTTTTGGATCTAATTACAAAATTACTTTTTAAAAAGCATGTGAATGTAGAGCTGAATTGCGACGAATCTATAAAATGTGAAATAACGAAATCTGATTCCAAGTATGAATTTTCATTTTCATGAATGAAGGGATTCATGAATGAACAATTTTAAATGACGCGTTTATTTTTCCAAAATAGAAGAACTCCAATCTCTTCAATATTTGTACCAGAATCTTGTAACGTTTCTACAACTTCATCAACACATTCTACGTTGAAAATTTTTACATTACCTCCACAAACACAAATCATTGAAAAGTTGAGATTAGCACCATTCGAATTCAGCCAAGTAAGTAATTTAAGTAAACTTTTCCTAATTTCAAAGGATTTGGTGTTAATTAACTATTTTCTTAAAGTATAGTGCTAAAATCAACCTAAGATTTTCAAGTCCCGGAACTGGGAAATTGTTACAAAAGGAACACTCCTTTGGCCTATATCTTATTGATCAGGTTAGCTAACAAAAGGAATTTTTTATATTTTACACAAGTTACTAAGGAATTCGAATTCTAATTTTATGAAGGAAGTGTGAGAAACATTTACGCTTTCAAAGCTCAACAGATCTCGCAAATTATAATGTAATGGTGGAATTGTCTCCATATCTTTTACGTCAGTTATGGAATGTACATCCAAGTAGTGGATTATCCGAAACGATGATATTTGAAATTAATTGGAAGGTAAGAAAGCATAGAAGTTTTTCCAAAAAAAAAAAGATTTATTTTATTTAACAAACTTTTTTTTAATTCAAGAACGAGATGTTTTTATTTGTTCGTATAAAGGAATGGATTGGTATTAAAAAATCTAAAGTTCTTTGTCAAGTTCTTGACGTTAATACGGAATCAAATTATTCCGAAATTGTGGAGAGAATTGTTGAAGAATTAAAGATATTAGGAGATGATACATGTGATTCCAATTAGTTGCGATTATATTCTGGTAGAGGTTAAAATTACGAAATGTAATCATTGTCGCGTGATTTTGTGTGAGAAATTTTCACATGACACTTTCTACAAACTTTGTTGCAACGTTCAAATAAAAATCGTATCGCAGTTCAAAAGTATAAACAATCCGGAAAAATTTATGGTTCTTTCTGCTTTTATCAATTTTTATAGCCTTAGTATCCGTATTATAATATTGGAGTATTAAAAACAACTATTCCGATTACATTTATTGATTGTCTAAACAGTATTATATAATCTCTGCCATTTTATCGACAATCACTTTGCCAACGCCGACTGACAATCATTTTAAAAAAAAAATTTTTTTTAAACGTCACCAAAGCGTTTGTTGATAAAATGAATTTTGGCGAATTGATTGTCGGGTAAAATAAACAGGTTTAATTTATTGAGAAAAAAAAATGATCAAATATTTTATTTTATAAATGCGTTTGTTAGGAAAAGTAGTATTATAGAAGAAAAAAGGATAAGGAGGAAGGGAGAGGCTATTTATTTATGTAATTTAATTCAATTTTATCTATAATCTTAAATTCATTATAATTTATAATTGAATTAAACTAATATTATATTATTTTTTTATTATTATTTTAACAATAATAATAAATTCTTTACTTTATGATATTTCTATAATATACAAAATTATTTCGAGAATTAAATAAAATTCGTTTTGCGGAATTTGCTAGAACGCAACCTTTTTTATTTCCGCAATTACAAATTTCTGGTTTGAGCAAATTTTCCTTATGATTATTGCATAAGTATTGAATTCATGGAAAACTTGCTTTTAAAACATAAATTTATTATCTTTATTATGAGTATGGCAAGGTTTATGACAGTTACTGCATGTCATTTTTTCTCGTTTATTAAGGTTTATCACAAGCTTGTGATAACTGCGTCACATTTTTTAGAAAGACTATTATTTGTCACGCAAATGCAGTGAATTTACACGTGCAAAATTTTTAAAATTTGTACACCGTCTCCGGTTTCAAATAATTAAATTCCTTTTGATATTAGCGAATCAAACATGCAAGAAAAGATATTATGTTCCCCCAAAAAATTATAGTAATAATTATATCGCTAACTCGTCAAAATAATAAAACAAAGGTCATCAATTCAATATAAATAGACACTATTTTCTCCAACAAAAATCATTTTTGAAGTTCTCAACCAAAGGAAAAAATGCCACCGGAATTTTATGATTATGAATTAATTCAAGATAAATCTGCAAAGCTAGAAAGCGAATCACAATCTTTTCATGATCTTGATGGATCATTATATACGAATGATAATGTAGATGTTAAGGCAATTCCCGTGGTTTTCGTTGAAGGCTTTATGGGTCCTGGAAAACCTACTTATTGGGGTCCACTTGAAAAAATATTCGCTTCTTCCAATGATAACAATTATGAAAAAAAGTCAAAGGATAGGCAATGTATTTTCGTTTTTCCTGGATGTGGAAGTTCTTTACACGATAGAGCTATCGAAATCTTTTATCAAATTAAAGGCGGAAGAGGTAGATTGTTTGTATTCGACTGCAGGCTTAGTTGTTAATCTATTACTAATAAAAACTTTATCACAGCTGATTATGGTAAAGAACACTCAAAAAAATTCGGGCATTCCCGATATGGACGTGAATATTCAGGTAAAAAGAGATAATATATTATTATATTTTATATTATATATTATATTCCTAAATGGATTCACGTGATTTAAAATTTAATTTAGGTTTATATCCGGAGTGGAGTGTATCGAAACCTTTGCACTTTCTAGGTCATTCTCTTGTAAGATTCAAATATATATATTTATATTATATTTTGTTTATAAAAAATTTGTTTCTACACATTTTGCCAACTTTTTACCTTTAGGGTGGTATAACAATATGGAAACTTCAACAACTATTGAATAGTAACACTTTCCCCGCTCATCTTAACCCACATCCCGACATGATTCGTTCTCTCACTACAGTGTCTTCTCCATTCAAAGGTCAATTCCTCTTTATAAAAAAAATCTTCACCTTTTTAATAAATTATAGTTTAAATTATTCATTATTTTATAGGAAGCCAAGGAGTATATATTTTAGGAGCTACAACCGAGGGAACAGTTCGTCCCTTCTCTTTTGGTGCTTGGCTTGGTAGATTCGTTCATATTTACGAATATTTGGATATTAAATGGTTAAGAATAATTTATGATTTCAACGTAGATCATTGGAATTTAAGTTATCGTAAAAATTGGGATTTTTCTTCATATTTTTCATGGAATTCCAGCAAATCTACAATTACTTCAGATAAAAAAAGTGTAGAGATAATCCAAGAAACAGCAAATACATATTGTTCAGCATACGGTTTATTACAATGTTTATATAAAAGTCCTTGGTTAAATTTTGTAGACAATGCTCCGCATGATATGACTATTCATGCAATGAAAGAAGTTAATGCTACAAGTAAAACGTTTGAAAAAACATTTTATAGAACTTACGTCACGTCTATTGTAAGTTATTGAAGCCACACGGTAATAAATTATCTTTTTTTTATTACTGATTTAAGAATTTATCTTTCTTTTTAGACATATGAAGATCCTAAAACAAAATATCATCGGCCTCAATTTTCGTTTTCTCTTCCAATTCCTTGTTATTTTCTCTCAAAAAATATTGGAAGTTTTCAATTTCCTGAAAACGCACCAAATCCTCCAGTTTCATCCAAAGAAATGTATAAATGGCATGAAAATGATGGAGTTTGCCCGATATATTCCCAAGCACATCCGCATTACGAATGTTCACCAGATAAATGTAAACATCACAAAGGATTACCCGAATTCAATATTGACGCTTCCTCATATGATAT